TAAATACGTAGTATTCTCCCAATGCTCCCCCTTGCAAACAGTTAAAATAAAATTCAAAAGAAAAAAAAAGAGTATTTTTTAAGATGGCAAGTTAGGTAAGAACACTTCTATAATACTTGGGCCATCTGGCCTAAGGATCTTGTTTGTCATTTCTCTAAATTTATCCAGAAGGTCACGAATCAGGGCTTAAACTTCTATTCCTATACATCACTAGATAGTAGAGCTAAAGCCTATACATATGTAATGAGTTCAGAAGCCAAAATCACCACCCATGTTAGGAATATATCCACTGGCAGCGAGGTGCAAAATTACACACCACACAACATATGATGCAAAGAATTACTGGATCAGAAACAGTAATAATTTAAAGTAAGTATAATTTCTAAAAAAGATATGAATGATACTGTCAAAATCAAGGACAAAGCATTATTTTAAAAACTGGGTGAAAAGACTGTTGAAAAACATAATGAGTGAAATAAATAATAAAACAATGAGGATAAATACCTGGAGAGATAAAACAAAAACAAAAATAGTAAGCTAAATCAGATCTGATGTGTTCTCCCATAAAGCAAAAAAAAAAAAAAAAAAAAAAAAAAAAAAAATGATAAAGAGACTAGATAGATAACTGAAAACAATAAAGTTACTATATTAGATAGAAAAATAGGTAGTTAGGTAATTAGACAACAAAAGATAAGTGCAGATGCCAAAATAAACCTATATAATAAGAGTTACAGGTAGAGAAGGGGTGGAATAATAGGAAATAATAATACATTTCCTATAATAGAGAAGGCTGGATATTTCTAAGTATGCTGAAATGGGATCTATAAGGAAAATATAAACCTTAAGAAACCAGACTTTTGGGGGGCACCTGGGTGGCTCATTCACCTGAGCGTCAGACTCTTCAGCTCAGGTCATGATCTCACAGTTCATGGATTCAAGCCCTGCACAGGGCTCTGTGCTGACAGCATGGAGCCTGCTTGGGTTTCTGTCTCCCTCTCTCTCTGCCCCTCCCCCACTTGCTCGCTATCTCTCTCTCTCTCTCTCAAAAAAAAATAAATAAAATTAAAACTAAATTAAATTAAATAGGGCTACTTGGGTGGCTCAGTTGGTTAAGCATCCAACTCTGGCTCAGGTCACTATCTCATGGTTTGTGAGTTCCAGCCCCACATCGGGCTCTGTGCTGACA